TTCAAAGTTACAACGGCATTGAAAGAAGTGATTTATGACCATGTTTCACACTAATGATCGTTGCAGCTTTCCCCGTGGTCACGTGATCAAAATTCAGACACTTGGCAACTGACTCATATTTATGACAGTTGAAGTGTCCCGGGGATCATGCAATCACCTTTTTTGACCTTCTGGCAAGCAAAGTCGTTGGGGAAGCCAGATTCACTTAACAACTGCAGTGATTCACTTAACAACAGCAGTGATTCACTTAACAACTGTTTCAAGAAAAGTCGTAAAGCAGGGCAAAGCTCACTTAATGGATGTCTCAGTTACCAACAGAAAATATGACCTCAGTTGAGGTCGTAAGTTGAGGACTATCTGTGTTTGGCTTCTGGGTACAATTTAAGGTGCTAGCCCATAGTGGCATAGCGCCAAAGAGTTTGAAACAGCACTTGTCCTAGATAGTTTCTATGCATTCAGTGAGGATAGGCAGAATGGGTGCACCTCAGATCCCAATAATCAGGCAGTAATGGGATCCAGGTAGTATGCCTTCTCTGTCATGGCTCCTGCATCTGGTATATCTCCCCAGAGATCTGGATGATTCCCATCCTGATGACTTCAGAAAGCTACTAAAAATCTGGTTATCTTCCCAGGCCTTGGGTCAGGCTGAAGATTGAGATTAGGTTGGCTTTGGTTATTTGCAGATCATGATTTCTGTTCTGTTCTTTTACCTTTTGTCTTTTTAAAAACCTTTTTAATTGTAAGCTGCCCAGAATCATTGGGAATAGAGCAGTGCATAAACTGTATATGTCAATCAGTCTAGATTTTTGTAACCCTGATATTGTAACTCTTGGCTTGGAATTATGGAAGTTGTGTAATCTAGCCGGTCTGATTACTCTAAGCCAGTGGTGGCGAACCTATGGCACGGGTGCCAGAGGTGACACTCAGAGCCCTCTCTGTGGGCACTCGCGCCGTTGCCCCAGTCCTAGGCCTTCAGCTGGGTTTTATAAAACCTTTTCGCTTTAGGTCTCCACCACGTGTGCAAAAAAAAAAAAAAAAAAAAAAGGGTTCAATCAATCAGTCAATTTCAACTTCTCGTGGGGAAAAAAGATCTTGCAAAGTTAGAATTGATTGATTGTACTTTTTAGTCCCACCCAGTCTGCCGTTACCACCACAGCTGTGCCCACCCAATGGCCACACCCACCCAATGGGCCACACCCACTCGGCACCCGACGATGCATAAGTGGGTTTTGGGTTGCAGTTTGGGTACTCGGTCTCTAAAAGGTTTGCCATCACTGCTCTAAGCTAAGGAAGGCTGCCGGGAAAGGAAAATATGGTACTGAAAGCTTGTATAGGAAATAGCTAAACACCAGGAGCAGAAATCATGCTGTAAATACAACCAAGAAATAAGAATTTCTCTGTAGAGACTCAAACATCAGTCAGAGACAAACCCTTCTCCAACTGAATAGAATTAGAAAGAAAGTTTTCACTGTCTAATAAGGAAGGAGATTGAGCAGGGGTTTAGAGCAGGGTAGGCAACCTTGGCTCTTTTATGACTCGTAGACTTCAACTCCCAGAATTCCTGAGCCAGCTCAGGAATTCTGAGAGTTGAAGTCCACGAGTCATAAAAGAACCAAGGTTGCCTACCCTGGTTTAGAGGAAGGGAAAGTAAGATCAACAAAGAACTGAAAAAGAAAATAGTGTGGGAAGAGAAACTGCAGCAGTTAGGGTTAGGGTTAAGGGACCAGCGGATGAAGCCTCGCTCCTTCCTTCTCCAATTTGGCCCAGAAAATCCCTGCTGTAAAATCCCTGGGATCTTTTTGATGGTTTCTGGCATGGTTGTTCGTTGTTGGTCCTAAAATTGCTCATTCTGATTAATTGGCCCATGGCTTTCATCGTTAGTTATTATTTGTAAGTATATTTTTAAAAAATATTTTAAGCACAGTTATGTTTTAATAAACAAATAAAAAATAGCACAAGGAAAAATATTATCCGCCAAAATTGTCTAAGTGACAATTAGAACAATTAACCGGTGGAACAACCTGCCTCCAGAAGTGGTGATTGCTCCAACACTGGAAGTTTTTAAGAAGAAACTGGACAGCCATTTGTCCGAAATGGTATAAGGTTTCCTGTCTGGGCAGGGGGTTGGACTAGATGACCTCCAAGGTCCCTTCCAACTTTAGCATTATTATTATTATTATTATTATTATTATTATTATTATTATTATTATTAAATCTAACCTCAAAAATGGTATAAAACACATATTAATTCATTTATTAACATTTATTCTCCCTTCAGTTTATTGTACTATATTGCTGTAACGCAGCCTTAATCTTAGATATTCCACTTAACTGTTATAGCAAAAAATAAATTTAAGGTACCACATCATGAACATTACCTTACTCTTTTTTTATTTTTATTTGTGAGGCTTAAATAATGAGTGCTTAGTAGAAACAATTCACTAGATGGCAGAGTTTCACCGAAAGATTGAAGACACTGCTTTTCCTTGTTATCCTAAGGATTGCTCTGCTAAGTTTTTCTAAAGCACACTGTGATGGAAAAAAGGTTTCTCCTTGATATGCCACCTCACATATAACTTTTTGCTACTTTGGAGATATTTCCAGCCAAAATGTTCTTACTTGACATTTTTTTTTCTTCCACTCAATAAGCCACATTTTGCAAAGCTGAGTTGAAAGTAATAGAAATATTTGACTAATTAACCTGGTAGTCAAACATGCAGAGTATGGCTTCTTGCATTCTTTTCAATCCCTTAATAATAATTTCACTTTGATTCTCATGATCAGAATGATCTGGGCTAATTCTGGATTACTGGGCAGCATTTCTGTTTGTTGCCCAATTGCCATTCTAAAAGAGGGAACATTTTCTGGATTTCCCCCCCCCCCCACCCCATTTCCATTGGCCAGATCAGACTAATTTTCAAAGTCCAACTTTCTTTTGCTGGCTTCTCCTCCCATACCAAATTTGATGTAATGCTGTTCCATTTTCAGACAGCTGTCATGCTGACGGACGAACAGACAAAATTTTATCTGAAGGACTGCTGTAGTTCTGATTTTACTGTCTTTGTGATAAAAATCGCTTTCTTAATTGATTATTTTAAATTAATGCAGCACTCCCATTTTTATTTTATTCTTTCATGTTGCAAAGCGCAAACCTGTAGTTAATTCTAACTCCAATCTTGTCAGACGTTACATGCGCATGCCTGATGATTCCTGATATTTTGTTTTCTGTTTCACCTAATGGCATGTGCATGTAATGTCTGACAAGATTGGAGTTAGAACTATTTTATTTTAGTAGGCTTCCCAAGTCCAGAAATACATAGATGGCATGCAACATCAAAAGCGATAGAAATCAAAATAATAGTTCCTGAAGACAGAAAGATAGCTGGGTAGAAATAACATCTGGAAGAGGCAGGGCCATGGCTTGTACATTCCAAAGCTGTTTGATCAAAAGTGGAAGATCTCCAAGAATAAGCTGGCACATTACTAATGATGTCTTAGAACTGCTGAAGCACTAGTACCTTCTAAAAATAATTTTACATTATGTGTAGGCTTAAGACTCTTAATATTGAGAGAAGAAAATCTGGACAGATTCAGGAGTAGCCTGGGGAATCACCGGTTAGGGTTTCATTGGAACCTATGGATAGTGAAACTCTGCCCTCAAGCTGTGATGGAAAACTCAGTTCAAATAAAAAGTAGCTTGGGTCTGTATCCTGTAATGCCATCTGTCCCTGAGAAACATGATGAAAAGTAGTTTGCAACCAAATAGCATGACTCTTTTAATGCCAAAGAGAACTAATATATTTTATGAAACAATTGCAAGCATCTGATAGAGCTTAATTTGAGTATCTGTTGTTTTATTCTATATATTATCTTCCGATAAGATTATGTCCCTTCAAGCCAAGCTCTATCGCTGCTGACTTTATGGCACACCAAAGTTGTTTTCTTCCTAAATGAATTTCATTTTTAATGTGTGCCATTGTGCCCACAGTAAAAAGTGACAGTAAAGGTTGTCAGTCTGTCTGTCCGTCCATCTGTCCATCCATCCATCCATCCATCCATCCATCCATCCATCCATCCATCCATTCATAGTTTGCAGGAGGATTGCCATTACTTTCTTCCAATTTTTTCCATATGGCATTATCTTTTTTTTTCATGCTTTATCCCATACTTTCTGGCATATTTTTGATTGCCCAGTCTAATCTAAAATTGTGACTCTGCAGTCTTTGCAAGAATAAACTGCAGGGGACAGCTTTGGTTTTAACTAGCCTTCTAATATCAGTAGGTCTGGCAGACTTCCCTACAAATAATATTTCACTAGGCCCCTGCTCCCACAGGAAAGTTCTGGTAGTGCTTCCTATCACCAACCTAACATCTTTAAATTATGGAATCTAGAATGGAATTCTATGGAATCTTGTTTTGTGCAGACAGAGAGAGGATGGTGTACAGCATTGAGGAAGAGACCAGCAACAACTGAGGAAATTGCTATAATTCAGCTGGTTGAATTATCTGCATAATCTAAAGAACTGGTGATCATAAACTAATAACTGCTTTTAAACTACCCTGTAGGCCAGGGGTCTTCAAATTTGTCCCTTTTATGACTTGTGGACTTCAACTCCCAGAATTCCTCAGCCAGACCCGCTGGCTGAGGAATTCCAGGAGTTCAAGTCCACAAATCATAAAAGGGACAAGTTTTTTTTTTTTGTAAAAACTTTTTATTTTCAATTTTGCAATACATTACAATCATAAAAATACTTCAGATAAAAAATAAAATAAATTGATACACACAACGTTCGGTATTGCTCACCCATTTCCCCCCAAACTGCACCCACCCTCTAACCTACTTCAAACCTACAAGTTTGAAGACCCCTGCTATAGGCATTGTGGTGAGGAATTTCATGCTATTGCTTGAGTTTTCAAAAAACTTCAAACACATTGCCTCTTATATCATTCAGTGTGACACTCCAGCTTCTCTTAAAGCAAATTTTTAATCTATTTTTCAGCTGTTTTGACATGCCCGATGTGCAGTATGCTACTCAGGAAAAACAGCAACCTCTGGTTCCAACACAAAATTCACAGTATGCTTATGGTATCTCAGTGGATTCAATATCTTCGTCTACATTGCCAGCCTCATTTAGAAAGGTAAGATTCAATTTAAAATATTAGTACTTCATTTTATTGTAGAAAGAAAATCACTGAACATATTCTGAATTCTGAAATAACTTGTTTTGGTAGAAACAAAAGAAGTCATCTGTTTTTTTTCCATTTGCACAATATAAAGTTTTTAAAAAATCATTGTTCCGAGTTTTATATATACAGTACAGGAAATTTTAAAAACGTTTTTTCTATTTTTTTCTCGTAAATAAATTATTGGGATAGATTTAAATGGAGGAATTGGTATGTTATCTATCTAATGTTTATTCTTATTCAGGCCCATAACATTAATTGATTGGGTTGGCTTAAATCTGTACTGTATGTTGGAAAACATTAGTTTTTGTACTCCTTTAAATATGGCAGAGAGTAAGCAGGCAGGAAGAGTACTGATTATTTCTCTTCTAATGTGGAAACTGAGCGTACGTAATTATCTTAGAGACAAGGTTGTGCAATAGCTTTCTTGTCACAAGTTTTAATCTTCACATAAACAGCATTTATATCATAGGCTGTGAGTTGAGCAAAACTGGCCACTTTGCTTTTTGCTGGAAAATTAAGCCATAAATATAACGAAAAGAAGATTGCATGTAGTGCTTTTCAAAGCGTAGTCCAGGGGTGTTCAAACTTGGCCCTTTTATGATTTGTGGACTTTAAATCCCAGAATTCCTCAGCCAGGCTCGCTGGCTAAAGGAGTTCTGGGAGTTGAAGTCCACAAGTCATAAAAGGGCCAAGTTTAAAGACCCCTGGCGTAGTTCTTTGAAAACTGGAGACAGCAGATCAGATGAAGAATGCAGGATAAAGGTTGACCTTTTTCACTGGTATGCTCATCTATATATGTATCATCTGCCACTTTACAATACAGTATAGAAACCTGTATGGCTTGTTGAACTGCATTTTTATATTGTGCATGTCTTCAGTTCAGATTTAACAGGAAGTGGGAATTATAAAACATTTAAGTAGTTGTTTTTATGTTTTGAAGACTCCTACCTTGTTCATGTCATGCATATGTACATCATATTGATCTGGAATATAGAAAATGGCAACCATGTGTTTGAAATAATAAGAGACATTTAATATGAAGCTTGCTGTGTGGAACATCTAAACAGGTAAATGCTTTTCAGAGCACTTCGGTAGTTGGGAAAGACTTTAAGGATGGATTTTCCCTTTGGGACTCTTGGTTGGATAGCAAGTATATTTTCTGTTTCTTTCTTTTTTCATGCAGCAAGCATTTTTTTGACTTATCTGTATTTAATAACAGATAAGTATTATAACATAATTTGATGTACATGATCATCAGTCTGTTTGATTAATTATGAGCCATCAAGTCGTTTTCAGTTCCTAACAACCACATAGATAGATTTTCTCCATGGTGAACTCTCTGTAAGCTGGTCTTTCAGATCTTCCAACATTGTACCCTTTGCCACTTTAACTGAGTCCATTCTCTTCTCTTTCCTTCCAGCTTTCTCAGAGGCATTAGAACCTTTTCAGGAGAGTTTGGTCTTTGCATAATGAGTCTGAAATAACGAAAGTTTGAATCTGGTCATTGGTTCCTCAAGTGATAAATCTGGCTGATTTGTTTGATGATCCACCGGTTTGATTTCTTGGCTGTCCATATTCTCAGGAGTCTTCTCCAATATCAGAATGTTCAAAATGTACTTTACATTTTGGATATTTTGGCCTTTAATTTTTTTTAAAAAAAAATGGTGACTTGCTATAAAACTTGGATCAAGATTTTGTGTGCATCTTTTCTATATTTTAAATGCCTAATTAAATATCAGAACCTGAAATTCCAGGGCAATAATTCTACACAATTCTGCCCATCATAATATACTGCATTCTCTGTTTAAAAACTATAGTATTTATGTTACTTTTATTTCCGTTTTCAGTATTTCTTGCACAATATGTCAGGTATTGCAAGCTATTTGTGTAACTTTTATAGTTCATAATTAACAGTGAGGCACAATGTTTTCTTTTATTGGCAAACCAGATCAAGACTACTTTCAGTTTTCCATATAATGCAGTGAAATATGCAGTCATCACATCCTTGCTTTTTGAAGTAATAAAAGTTTACCTCCTTAAACGAACAAAATGTAAGCTTGCTTTAATTTTGCCCTATTCCTATCATTGTTCTCTTTTGGTTTCTCTTTTATTTAACCTGCCCATGACATCAGTATTTTATATGATTTCCTGATGGCTTGTCAAGAGTGACAGGATTCTTCTCAGTGTCATGCTTCTGGCAGGATGAGTAACTTCCCCAGGCTTCTCATATTTCAATCTAGAGCTAGCTGAACATTGAACTAGATGAGCACAGCACAGGACTTATTTTATGTATTTAATTATTAACGTAATTTCTATATTGTTCCAAGCTCATCATTGTATATTTCCAAGAATCTCAAAATAGAATTTTAGAATATAAGCAGTACATAATAAAGTACAATCTTCTTCTGAATTCAACAGCCTAAGGCAGGCCTACTAGAAAATTCAAGTCTTTTGCGGCAGTGCATTTATTGGGTACAATGTCCTTCTGGCTATAGTTTATTATGGTCTACTATCTACCTTTCTTTTTACGTATAGTGAACCTTCATTAGGACTTTGTATCAACTGACCAGAAATTCTGTGGAGATTATTTGTGCAGCATTGCAGTAATATAAAAATATGTAAAGCTGAAGCTAGTGTATTTAATGATGATATACCTATACAGTAGGTCAGTGGTGGCGGCATGCGTGCCAGAGGCGGCACTCAGAGCCCTCTCTGTGGGCACGCATACCATACCCCAGAGATGATGAGGGACTGGCCCCCGCCACCCTGGCCCCGCCCACCCAGTCTGCCATGACCACCGTGGCCAAGCCCACCAGCACCCGGTGATAAATAAGTGGGTTTTGGGTTGCAGTTTGGGCACTGGGTCTCTAAAAGGTTCACCGTCACTGCTATAGGTGGTCCTTGATTTAAACAATCACAATTGGGACCAGAATTTACATTACTAAATAATGCAGTTGTAAAGTGTGATGTCACAAGATCACATCGCTCAACAGCCATAATCGCAGCAATCCCATTGCCGGTGTTAACCAAATTCGACCAGTCATTAGCTGAGGACCTACCCCCCCCCCCCAATCCAAGCCATTCTGGACTTGGTCCTCCAGACTCAAGTCTTGGTCAGGTGCCTCATCTTAAACTCTCCCTCACCGATCTTCTTCCCTTTTGGTTGCCCTGCACCCTACCTTGCAGGGCAGTAAGTCATCCCAGAACTGAGTGGCTCTGGAGCTGCTTGCCACACTGCAATTCAGAAGCTTCTTGGTGCACCACAGCTCTGGGACTGACAAGAAACCCTTGAGCTGCAGTGCAGTGCAAAATTGCAGGCACCCTTGGAAGCTTCAGCCATCCCAGCAGTACAGCACAAAGCCATAGTGCCCTGAAAAGCCCCAGTCACCCAAGAAGCACTGTGCAAAGCCCAAATGTTCCTGGATGCCTCACCAGCATGGTGCAAAGCTGTAGTAACCTAAGAAGCCTCAGCTGCCCCAATCTTGTGGTGCAAAGCCATATCCGTCCTGGAAAACCTCAAATAACCCGGCCTAGTCCCAGCCGCCCTTGAAACCCAGCACTCTAAAATTCCTGGAGCTCCAGCTGATTTTCACTGACTTCTTGCTCCTGCTGCTGTTGAGGCGTGCCCATCTTAGCCCTTCACAAGGCAACTGCTGGCCGCATGAGGCCATCTTCCCCAAGTTTCACAAGGAAATCACCTTGATAGACAAGTTAGGCGGTTTGTAGCACCCCTGTGCAAACAGGCTACCAAGCCCCTGAATTTTGATCACATGACTGCAAGGGCACTCCCATACTCCCCTGTTTGGAGATGACATAGGGCATTAATTACAATTCACGTCTTGTCATCTGTGAGTGAGCTACCATGTGGGTAGCAGACTGCTTTGCCAAAGGTAACCAAGATAGCCACAAAAAATTACTTCTTGTGCTGAGAGCTATCTTGAGTTCTTATAATGCTCTTAAAACTCAAGCGTTACTCAAATGGACTGACAACTAAGATTCTAGCAATGATTCAGAATAGTTTTAGCAGTAAAGGTTTCTAGCCTTTAATAACATGGTTAATTATTCTAAAGTATCTTTTATATTATCTATTAACTATACATGTAAATGTGATGCCTCATATTACATTATTATATATTATCTTTGGTTTGTGGGTTAGGTAAATGGATTGATAATTATATTACATTATTATACATCAAGTAACGTATTATCTATTAAATTATACATTTAAATAAAGGTATACCATTAAGCAAGCTATGCATTTAAATTATACATTTAAGCATTATTTTAATACAAGAACTTGCAGGGTTTCTCATTTTGTTGCAAACAGCATATTTAGTCTTCCTGTGTATCATTACGAGATGAGATCAATTTTGTTAGTAGCTTTAATATACTTTAAGATGCTTCTGTACATAAGTGCTTCCTTATTAATGAGATTCCAGTTTAGGGAAGTAAAACTATTTTTAGCACAATTTTCCATTCTACTGAGTTTCATTTACCCACAGGATGTACAATAGGTGTGGTACACCTGGTTTGTTGCATATCATGTCATATGCTAATGTGATAACTTGCATGAAAATCATATTATTTGGTATTGCAGTGCTTATTTTGTTTGATTAAGAACACCATTTTATAAAATGGTTCTAACTGAAATGTATTTTTAATAGCACTTTTAATACAAGTAGTTATAACCATTTGGGATGATGCCCTAATCGTAGCTCATTGTGCTCTTGCAATATTTTTTTTTCCAGGGCACGTTTGAGTCATGGCTTTCATCTCAACTCCACCCTATCAGTGGGAAAAGCTTAAGTCATTTTTAGCTGTATTGGTGTTAAGATAGTGTTTTTCCTCTAAGAACAGCATTCAATAATATCTGCTAGTATGCAGAATTTGTTACATTATGCAGACATGAAGTTAGGTGACCAGTAGCAGGCGTGTCTTGCTATTTTAGGCTG